TGCTTTATGAGAAAGGCACTGATGTGGGGAAACATTAAGTCCAACTTTAAGCAATTCGAGACAGAAGGAGGCGCAGGAGAAATTCGGCAAAGGACAGGTCATTTTGGCCGAGACAGCGATGGTAAGAACAGGAGGAGACGAGCACCACTTCGTATCCTTCGGGCGTCCATGAGGAAAGCGTACAGCGTAATCCGGGAGAAGAACAAGACAAAAAAAAAGGGGGTTCATTTCCAAACAGCGGGAAAGAAACAAAACAGAACAAAAAAAAGATCTGCGGAAGCGGTTATTAGGGCAGCATTAAAGCATTGACGATGGTAAGACGCTAAACAGGCTCACAGGAGTGCGCTTGGTTTGGGTGTCTTAATATTCTATTTTGATTATAAAAACTATAGAGAAATGGGAAAAACGCAATAGACAGTGAGGCGTAATTTTCGAGACCGACACAACAAAAGCAAGAAAGAACTACATCGAGACGCCAGAGGGGAATAAAGCGTAAAGCGAGGATCCGAAAAGAAGAGAAGAAACGTACAAAAAAAAAAATTTAAAGCACTCAGAAATGTAAAAAGAATCAAACACATAGGATGTTTATAATGATATTGAGATAATCCTAAATGCCAAAGGTGTTTAAAAAAGCAAACGATTATAAAAGTAAATATAAATTAAACTTATTAATATTATAAGATTACATTTCTTAATTAAGGGAACGCGTTTTCACAGAAAATATAATTTTCGGATATACTTTATATAATATATATATCGGTTTTTCTGAAATGGTTTATCTTAATTTTTTTTTAACATTTTCAGAATTCTACATTTATAGGATTTTTTCGAAATTTATTTGTTTGAATTTCAAGTTTTGTTCTTTGTGAAACCAAAAATTGAATTCATAAGAAATAAATTTCAAATAATCCTATAAATGGCAGACATGATTATATTTTTTAAAAAATTGTTTTGTTTTGTAATTATATGAATATATAAACAAAGTGTAGCAAAACCTTTAGAATTACTATTTCATAAAACGTGAATACTAATTCTGGTTCTTTATATTAAAAATATATACATATGATGTTGACAATTTTATTTTTTGTCACATCAGGATCAATTTTTCACCAATATTTCGTAAATTCTACAATTCTATGGAAAACAAACTCGTCTGAATCGATATTTAAAAAATTTTCTATCCGTATCGAAAAAAGAAATTAATACAAAAACTTCTAGCGTTAGTAAACAAACAAAAACACTGTAAACAGAAGGAATGTTTTAAAGTATGTTATTTTTGTTTGCAAAGACAAATCAAATATATAAAAGACTAAGGAAATAAATAAATAACGGTGTAAATATTTCACTTTAAAAACATAAAAAATAATCCGTTCAAATAATGAAATCATATATTACATTCTAAACTCATTTAAAATTCGCCATACCATATTGAGTAATAAAATAAAATTTACCTATCGGTTAGAAATACGAAATAGTACATAAAAATAAAATAAAGAGTAATCTAAATACATACAAAAAGAACTCACCTTAGTAAATTTAAATACTCTCGGTTTATGTGCATCCATGTTGCAACAAATATGTTCAACTGAAGTCCACACAACACGGCTTAGAAATGATCAACAAATATTTTTACCATTAAATCTCTGATATACAGCTGTTCGTGAAATAATCCAGGGCAAGGTGATTGCAAAGAATAATGTTTATATCCTTTTAGAGGATAAAAACACGTCCAGTTGTTTAGTCGCTTTCCACAACTCTAAATGAAAACGTTACACGACGCGCGCGCAACGCGAGGCTATGTTATTTATACAAGAGCGCGTTAAAATGGCAGACGTCTGGGCTGTCCACCAATGAGAACAAGTTTAGCTTCGGCGCCATTTCGCTGATTTGTCCGTTTTACGAGACAGGAATGGTGGCTTGTAGAGGTAGTATTTTTGGCACGTTTTTCATTCTAACCTCCTCTTTTCGCTTTTCCCCCTGCGCAAAATTTTTATCCGGAGGTGGTAAGGAGCTGACTAAGTTATTACGGTCATCTTCTCTTTGGCGAGAATTCAAATCTTAATGGAATTGACAAGGAAACGATTGATGAAAAAAAATGAAAATATTTGTAATTAAAGAAGATTTCACATTTCTTAACGCCAAAATAACATCAAATGCACTAACTTATATAAACAGTGTTTCCTTTTTGTTACTATTTTTTTCTCTTTAGTCCGTTTCAATCTTGTATTTATAAATAAACACCAATAATATATTTTAAGAAATTTTACAGCAATAAAATTTTCTCTTTAGTCCGTTTCAATCTTGTATTTATAAATAAACACCAATAATATATTTTAAGAAATTTTACAGCAATAAAAATTTTTAAATACTCGCTTTTTTAGAATAACGCTGATTTACCAGAAATAACAACAGCTACAACGTATTAACATCGTTATCATTTCACGAAACCAACATCATGTTTAGGTTTTTCATTAAAGTACTTTTATTTATTTGATTGTAATATTTTCCCATTGATTTAAATCAAGAAGCAAGGCTTAAGTCCTTTTTCATTAAAATCATAAATTTATTAAAAGCTTTTATAAAAGGAAACATTATAAAAAACATTAAATTTATGATTTTTTTCATTAAAATCATAAATTTATTAGAAGCTTTTATAAAAATCTATAAAAGAAAAATCTTAGACTAAAACTGCAACCTAAAGACATCAGATTGTAATCTTACATCCCAACGAGGAGTTTACCATTGAAAGTATCTATTTTTTTTTAATATGTCAAATATTAAAGTATAGAAAACAACATAAAAATTCTTAGAAATATTATTCTATTCCGGCTGCGTCACATATGGCGTTAGAAATATCTTTTACTAATTGCAACAAAGCTCAAACTATTATAAAAACTATTAGCTGCATATACCACAAATTAAATACACTTCCATTTACATCAACTATACACATTATTAAAAATGTCAAATAAAGATTTTATTACTAAAGAACTGTGTTTATTTTTATTACATCGTTTAGTTTCTCAATCTATAACAGATTGATTAAATTTGTAAGATAAATTAAAGATCCTATACTCTGCGATGTGGCATCAGTCTCGGAATCGGCTACGCACCAGAGCGCGTGGAAAGCAAGACTTTTTTTTTGGGGGGGGGATGCAATGGTGACACATTGCTTTAAATCACTCAGTTGGCAAATCAGTAATAGACTGATTAAATTCGCTTTGCTGAATAGCAATACTCTGAGAATCCACTACGCCAGATGGCTCGAGGAAAATAAATTAAAGATTTTTCTCTTGTTATTCCGTATACTTCGAGCAAAGGCAAACCTTGCCGTATCAAGGAATGAAGGGATGTCTACGGATTTTATTTTGCCAGAATACAAACAAAACAAACAAACAAAAGCCTCTTTGGACTAAAACGAAAAATCTGAAAGGTTTCAGATTTTAAATTACGTCCAAAGGGGCGTTTTTTTAACGTTTTGTGTGTTAGCTTTATTTATTAAATATCGTACGTTGTTTCGCACTTAAACCATAAAATTCAATTCAACAGTAAGGATCGCAAAATAATTTTAAAATGAGCGTCCATCTTTAGAATTTCGGATACACAGTCTCGCGCGCTGGAGATAAAAAATGTTTTTTATCTCCCCGAATAGCAGCGTTGGCCACTGCTCGCTTTGAAATCGTTGAGTTTGTTGAATCAAAAAGTTCGTTAAAGTTTTACAAAATATGAAATAGATAATAAAAAAATTTCAAATTTCAAATTCGGGCTTCCAGATGACCATATTCAGGTGGAGGATTACGTTATTCAGAATTGGATGGCTCTAGGTACCGTTGTTTTATCACAATGCGAGAAACATACATGCATTTATGCAGATTCTTCATTATTTAATTTCTTCAAATATAATGCAGGACTCATTTGGTGGCAACAATTTGAAAAGTGATGCGCCATTTATAGTGATTCAATGCAAAATCGCAAAACGAAAAAAATAGTCTTTCAGGGACAAAACCCTTCTGGACCAATAAATAAATGCCAGGCCATTGACTTTCTGAATCGTTGTAGCAGATTTAGCGTTACTTAGAATGTACCACTAGGAGACATTTGCAAATATCCATGCTTTTTCCGAGATTCGAACCCAGCCCATCCGTACAGCAGTCAGGGTGGCTGACCACTGTACAGGCTGAGCGGCATTTTGCCAGAATAGGAATTTACATGTTAAGTGAAAACAACAAACTTTTTTCGAGGTGTTACTAATTCAAATAATTAGTATAAGAATTCTTATTCTAATGAAAACAACGAATAAAATTTACTTAACTATTATCTTCTAGAAAGATTTTACTCATTACTTATCCACATGGATTATTTTCTTCGAGAATTCCTAGTTTTTCTTTAACGACTAGTTTCATAATTCACTAAATGACAAGGATAATAACAACAGAATCAAAATGACCATTATTTATGTGCCCTCCATGATAGTGGAATATCTTTCATTCAATGAACATAATAGCAGAATTTTAGAAGTTAAAATATGAAAATTTTATTCGACGAAAACAAAAATATGAGAACTGCTCTTGGAAGGATGAATTGGATTTCTGAAAGATTACTGAACTTAGAATGAAAGTTAAACCGTTGTAATACATCTTGGTTTATTATGTTACTTATTGTTGCTACAGATGTATTTAAAGACGTCGCAACAGACAGATGTATTTAAAGATTTCTGCATCAGCGGGCTTTCCCTTTTTGCCAATGTTTTAACTTTAGAAACATTAGAAGCAGTACGTACTTTTTTCGGGTATTTGTTTGGAGTTTTTTTCCATCCAACGAGTGATAGTTTTTCCTTTTCCGATTAATAACGTTGCTTATTTATTTTGCATTTAGAAATTTGAATACCACGTATTTCGCAACGTTTTTGAATTTTGGAATCTTGCGTAACGCTGCAATCAGATACCTCTTATCCAATTAATGAATAAGATTTCTATTAAGAACTGAACTTCTTAACTCACTTTCCCACACTTCTTCTGAATGCGTCACTTTCCGCTCCGCCTTGCATCCGCCAACATGCTCCTGCTGTTTGAGGTCTTCAAAGACATATTTAAGTTTATCGGTACCGATGTAATATTCTTTAAGAAAAAGGCGCAACTGCATCCATTTCATTTATGTGGCATTTATGGAAAAGGTGTGACACTCATGGATAAAAATGAATGACTAAATTTGGCCATGTCTGCGAATTTCTGTGTCTTTATGCATCTACCTACGCTACCAACTTTGCCAATTTATTACGCACACACACACATATAAATATACTTAAATTCGGAAACCAACTTTATATTTTTTTTAAATTACATTAATTTTAAAACTGTTATTGTATTTAATACATGTAAATTTTACGAAGCTAAAATAAAGGCAGTTTTTAACAGTTATGATAATTAATTACAAAGATGACTAGTAAGAATGTTTTTTCTTGTTCTGCTTATAGTTCACACATTAGATTGTAACAGAAAATGGAAACTTGAATTTGGAAATGCCAGAGATAGTTCGAGTTCCAAGCATTTCTCAAGTTAGGTATCTTAATTATGCAATTTACAGCAAGCTAATGCACTGAACTTTGAACAAGATGAAATCAAAACAAATGCTTAAAAGAGAATTTATGTGCACAAGCTGAGAGGGAAGTAATGATACGCAATAAATAACATTCTTCTTGTTATTACGCTTTCGAAACTGCTAATTTTAACTTCGCTCTCCCACATACAATGTTAATGCTTAACGTTTCACGTCTTTAAACACCCATCGGACGTCAGTCCAATGAAGTGGGTGACAGCCATTCCCGAAATAACTGAAGCCTTTAGCGCACGATCCCTAGAGGTGACTGAGAGAATCACTTCAGTCTGCTGTTTCCATCCGACACTTCAGTGGCACGTGGAAGAGTTTGCTTGAACTACATGTATCGAACAAACACTGTGAGAAAAATATAGGTGCCAAGTTTTAAACTATTTTGAAACTGTGGATGGTGAGTAACCGTTTTGATAGGCAAATTTATTAAAACAACAAAAAGAAACATAACAACAGCAAATACCGAATATTAATTAAGGTTGAAACATTAAATTCACGATTCTATTATTATCGTAAATAATTCCAGATTCGAAAACTCTAAAACGCATTCATTGTCATTCAAATCAGCTTAATACCCCTTAACATTTTAACTAAAAGCTTCGAAAGACTACTTTTATCAACAAACACCAGTGCGTAAGAGCGCGATTGTTGCAATTTTTATTGAAGAGCTACTCCATCGTCAGTCAGTATCACCTTCAAGTGACCTAATTTTCTGGACAGAATTAAGCATTTATTTTTACTATTTACCTATGTAAATTCTTGAGGTAATCATGAACCTTCTACACTTGCTTTGACTTAAAGATTTTGAAAAAACGCAAAGAATTTAAACTATCATTCATACATTTAAACTATCATATTTTCGTCAGTTTATATTGAGAAAATGAACCGCGCAATTTAAGATATTTAATCATAAATTTCATCTACTAAATGTCGCTTGTGTATGTGCTTAATAATTATAGCTTTTTTTGGGGGGGAAGCTGGTATTATATTTTTTTCAATTTAAGCACACTTGAAATTTTGCCTTAATTAAAAATTTTTAATACTAAAAGCCCCACCCCACCTTATTCTTATAGGAAAGATTCGAATAATACCTTTAAAAATTCAGATTTCGGAGGATTTAGGATTCATTCCGTTTCTAAGATTAATCGAAATCTCTAACATCGAATTGTAGTAAAAATCTGCTTAATCGAAACCCGTTTTCTCCAAAATGGTTGAAACGGATGGAATAAGATTGAATCAGTAAATTCGGAAGTATTCACCGTACTTTTTCAAAATCAGCTTTTGTCTAAGGTTCTAAGGTAATGTCTAAGGTAAATATGTTCTAAGGTTGTAAATTGTTCTCAGGTAAATATGTACTTCATAATGAAAACAAGCGAGCTTATTGCTTTGGATAAAAAAAAACTGTGATATTTCTGCGCAGAAGGTTAGGTTTTCATGTATTTACTGTCATCGATGGATTAAGTCATTAAATTTCTTGGCACAAACAGGATATCCTGAAAATGGATACAGCAACTTTTTGGCCATTCTACGAAAAAATATTTCAAATAACTACTACTGATGTTAATAATATCCGTTTTTAATACGATATTATTAATATAATTTTGTCTGAAATATTTACCTTTTTTTTCCTTTTATCTGTATTATATTACCTTTTTATCATGAATCATATCATGAATCATGAGCATAATCTTGAATTTAAACTAAAATAGTATTAATTCCGATCATGAGACATTAGTTTAGTACTTAAATACAAACCATAGCAACAAATTAAAAAATTCGACGATTTTTTCCTAAAAATACGTGCACTTCTTTTTAAAAATTAATGTTTGAGTTTAAGAGATTAATATTACTTTTAATTTTAAAAGAAAATATATTTAAAGTTATTTCCGTCGTAGAGTTCCTCACTTTTATTCTGCTAAATTAAATGTTGAGGAACCTAGTGAACTGTTAAGCAAATTATCCTTAGTTCAAAGACCAGAAATCGTAAACTCAAGAAGGGTTAATTACCTTTTATTCACTCAAAATAAGATGAACAGTCGGACTTACAACAAAGACCTCCACTCGGGCTTAATCTCTAAATTAAGAACTAACTATGAGTAACTAAGAGGTTTAGCCGAAGCTAACACAATTCTAACGTAGTTGGTCCGTAATCTAAACTAGCCGGCGAACTCCCAAAAGGCATGTTAATATACGGCCGAGTTTAACAGCAGTTAAGAGAGACTTAGCCCAAAGGCAAATGCGCAAAAGGCAAACGCGCGCTACTCAGGATTCCTAGCTCTCTCTCTCTCGAAGATGCTTTGATGCTTTGGTTGCATATTCTGGTTTACAGCGGGTTTTAATTCCGCTCTTGCCAGAGCTTATCACGGAATCCCACGAGGAGCCTCACACATAAGGGCTCATCAAATTGGTCCACCATAAAGGTGTGTACCTTAAGATAAAATACAATAAAAATAAGAAAGCATTAAGACGCATTGTCTCTGAAATCTCATTGGCGGATGAGGATGCGATGACAGAAGACTAGCATTGTCCTGTCAGGGGTGTGGCGGCAGTTCTGTGACTCCTGCTGAGCTATTGAAAGTTTTGAAGTCCAAAATTTGCAATAAAATTAATACGAAGGTTACACATGTCGATCTTGTCTCTGCGTGTTTCCGCTATATAAGCGCTATAGAAGACTAGCATTGTCCTATCAGGGGTGTGGCGGCAGTTCTGTGACTCCTGCTGAGCTATTGAAAGTTTTGAAGTCCAAAATTTGCAATAAAATTAATAGGAAGGATACACATGTTGATCTTATCTCTGCGTGTTTCCGCTATATAAGAGAAAAGTTGCAAATGGCCTATTATTCCTATCTTCTTCAAGTATTTCGTAAGCGAAAATATCTGCAAAGCCGGCGGACGTGTTCTGCGTAGCTTTATCATAAAATTTAGCTCTTACTCTGTGCAGAAAGTCAGAAACAAGTTCCATTTTCAGGTCAGCATGCAGATTTTTGTTTCTAAGTAATATGAAGCTGCGGTGATTTATCCTGAGAATCTTCTAATTACTTCAACTACTGCCTTCAGCGAGTGAAGTTCCATTGCTGTGAGCTCCTGTTCGGAAGCCTCTGAATTGAAATCATCGTGAGAATGCGGAATTTGCGTTTATTTTGTTTGTGAATATCTACTCTACAAGAAATGCTACAATGCTAATTGTGAATATAGTGTTCGTGAAATAGTGTTGTGTTTTGGTGTTTTATGTGTTTCCGGTGATTAAAAAGTTATATGGTGGTGTTTTCCAATATCTCTGGTTCCAGCGGTGCAATATTTGGATACCCTGATTAACTTTATGCTTCGGTTATAACGTCCTAAGTGCTATATCGTATATCATTCATATTAATCGATTATTGTGTTCATATTGAAAGGTTGGTTCTCAGAATTAATTCATATAAAACCAAAAATAACAACGGTAAGGCACTTTCTGGTTTTGCTGAAAATGCAATCAATGCAGAAGCAACAACAATTCAAGCTTTTATGGTATTTTCATTAGTTTCAAAATACAAAGAAATTATTGGACTGGTAAACATAGGCCTGGTAGACGTAATAAAGGCATCTTTGCAACGGTTGCAAAACAGTGGAGTTTCGCGGACATCTGGGCGTCTTAAAGATGACATATTGCAACATTTTGCAACGACATCCGCGACGAGTTTGCAACGTCGTTACTACGTTGCCGCGCTACTTGGGGGAAAATACAAAAAGCGGGGGGGGGGAATGCGTGGGCTAACAGTAATCATAACAGGTGATACCCCAATAGCAATGGGGAATTGTTTTATCAACAAAAGTACGTAATATAATTATAATAATTTGCCTAAATATTGCTAAATGATGAGTAAAAAGTAACTCATTCAAATTTAAAACTAAATCAAGTATATAACCTTCTGTTTCATAGTGGCTTCTACCGAAATATTAATTATAATGATTTAATTTATAAGGTTATTATTATTTTCCATTAATCAGTTATTTATAATTTTCACTTTATTATAGTAAGTATCTCCTTTAGGTATTCTCACCAGAAATGCATGTGAGTTAGAAAGTATTTAAGCTGAGGTTTTCGGATTGCAAGGATTGTAAGCCAGAGCGTGTTTCTGTCTCTCGAGACCACATTAATTTAGTTTCGCCATCTCGGTTACGTTTGTAATTATTCGGCTTTGCGTTACTTGCTGCCGACATTTACACAGTTACGCCGGTTAGAGTACTGTGAGCCAACTTCGGTTTAAATTTAATGGGGTAGTCTTTCACTACTAGTCTACGTTTTAAACTGAATTGGATTCTTACTTTAGTTGTATCACCATAAGTGGTGGTTGATTTCTGTAAGCACGAGAAAGGTATTTTGTTAAATAAAAAGATTGTTTTTAACTTTTCAAGTCTCTACAGTTGTTTCAGACACAGCGATAATTCGCTTAACGTCTATTAGAGTTTGGAACTAGCTTATGCGCCCAAAGAAAACTAATATAAATTTATATATCATCAGTACAATCAGTATTTTGGCAGAATAATTGATATTAGCTACGATTT